TAGAAAGATTTTTATGATATAATAGAGGGTAATCAAGCTTAGTAATTACAGTGACTGCCCAAGGATAAGAATCTGTACCTTTAAGAATATTACAGTAAGTCGGGAGACAGGAAGGATTATTGTTTTTACAGTATGGCTCCTGAATTAGAATTATATCGTATTTATTACAGTTAGAAGCAAGAAGTGAAGTTGCGGAAATCCTTCTTTCTAAGTTAATTTGTAGGAAACGTATACGGTATCCATTGTCAGAATCCATACTCAGTACGTTCTATAATACTATTTTTAATTCTCTTGAATACGGGACATGTACTGTCACGTGCATTATGACAAACGTTACCTAGGTTACCACGTTGACAATTTATACAAAATGGTTGTGAAGTTTTGTTTGGACATTGCTTGTAAGTATGATCTCCTGCACATTGGCTGCAGGTAATAGCTTCCTGTTCACAAAATTTTGCAGTATGGCCAAATTTGCAGCATCGAAAACATTGTTTTATGGGACAAAAGTCCTCCACACGACATCGCGACCATTTTAAATTAATCTTACCAGCAGTAAGGAGGTGTATTCTCACCTGTGGGGTGACTTGAACTGCCCAATTAAAATAAGGAGCCTCTTTGCGCCCAAGATTATATTTTATTTTAAATTGATTGTAAAATTCCTCTTCTGAATAGCTTTCGTGTATAATCGGATTTTGTTCATATATAAATGCTGATAGGTCTTCTCGAGTTAATTGCGCTGGAACAGAATATATTGCTATATATGGATCCCTCTTTTTTGGTCTTTTAACTTCAAGTTCAGGAACGGATTCATGTACACAATTTTCCAAAATTTCAAGATCTTTTTTATTACTTAAATGCACAGCAATCCCTCCCCTTCTGATATGACGTATTCGCTCAACGCCAATCCCCAATCTGGAAGGGTTTATACGTTGCTGTATAATATTACGAGTAGTATCGCTGTTTGTATTATCACCTTTCCCATAAATTAAAAGTACATCTTTAGTAGACTTCTGTGGAATGTTAGGTGAATTATTTTTAATTGCAGTGATAGCATTTCCCGATTGTAATATAGCACTATATGTAGGAATAGGCATTATATTTTTGTCAGCTTTATTATTGATATCATCGATTTTTCCCGAAATTTCTTTTAACATAGAAAGAACTGCACCCTCTTCATAAATTGAAACAACACGCTTCATGCAATCAAGGATGAATTCAGTATGTCTGGGGGTGGAAAATTTGCAATGCGCATTTTCTACAATATAATCTTTTAGTTCAGATATAACCCCATTAGCTGCTGAACGTGCAGCATGTAAGTGCATACATTCAGATGCATCCATAATAACATACAGTAGAATCAAATAATAATTAATAAAAAATAAAACTTAAAAATATACTTAATTACTAATGAATTGAATAAAACTAACAATGGCTTTGTATAGCGAAAAATAATTTACAAACGAGAAAATCGAGAAAAAACCATTTCGAACTGGAAAAGCCAATGACCATTGCTAAGCAACGAGATAGAACAGAAAAATGTGCAAAAGTAAAATTTAGTAGAATCGCCATATTTTCTTTAATAATGAATATATAGACATGAAACTTCACAGTTATGTAACATTTTTCTTTCTGTCCATGTTGGTGTCGACCAAATTTAAATTCGAACATCCGGAAGCCCACAAAAACCGCCCAAAATTAGACAGGAAATGACCGATATTCCGAAAACTGATTATCCGAATGACCCCATATTTAAAATGTGCACTCACAGTATGAGTCCGGGTACGATTCCGATGACAGTTAATAAAAGTCTGTTAAAATATTCCAGTTAATCGCGTTCGAAGAAAATCAAATGTTCCAAAGGTCACAGCTTCCGACCTATTAGGTCTACAAAGACGATCTTGACACCATTTTGTTCCTTGTGAAAAATGGAATCCAACAGTATATAACACTTTCGTACACAATCACTATTTCCGCAAAATCGTCGAAGAAAAACAGAGCCAAATTTCCAGCAACCAACATAAACCTACTAAGCGCCCTCTTTCTCTGTACTGACAGCAGCAGTCATTAAATTTATACGGTTAATGCAAATATTAAATTTCGTTTAGTAAAATACAGTATTATTTTTATTAAATAATATTTCTAAAAGATAAGATTACATGACAAATATTTAAACATTTGCTCTTATTATTAGATAATTAAAGCGGATTTGTTGTCTTGAGATTTCAAAAACAGTTTTATGCTCGGTAAGAAGCCATTGTGTAACCCATCCGGAATGAAAGAAACCCATGTGTGAAAAAAATTGATTGAAAAAATATCGGAGCTTCGTACGTCCTTGCCTAGGGGATATTACAGCCTTGACCTTTCTAATTCGTTCATAATAGTTGTAGTGAGTTCCTGGTATGGAACGCCATATTGTTAAGATGCAATCAACTACCCCGACCACACCTTAATAAATAGAAGAGAACAATGAACTTAAAAAAATTTTATTCTTTATGCACATTCCATTCTCGTTGCATCATTTAAAATCCTGTCAAAATTTTTTTCTTCTGATTTGGAGTATAAAACGGAAAAACTTTCGCCTGGTTTTTAATTTAAAACTTCCATTGAATATTTAAAAATGGAAAAATATCTAATTATTTAATAAACAATTCGTAAATTTGCATTTTGTATAAATATTTCACATAAAAATCACTCTAATTATCTTTATCAACAATAATTAGGAATGTTAATAATATCCTCCAGTTATACAAATAAAAACGTTTAAATTATTATTACTGAATGTAATGAAAAATTACTTTGCATATTAAAAAATGTTCCCTATAATTTACACAGAATATTTTTTAAATAGGATATTAAAAAGAATTTTAAACATGTTTTAAACTCACTATCTAATTTAAAAAATGAATTAAACTTTTTAAATTTATATAAAACTAGGATAATTATTTTCAAGTCATAAAAAGGTTCTTATTAATTTTATCATTTTTGAGGCTAATCGGAATTTTGGAACTTTTCACTGCACGATTGGAAGAATTAGTTACACTCCAATTGCTTTGTATAATTTTATTTTAATTTGTTTCACGATCGATGGTCATATAAAACTCTCATTTCATCATTATGACAACAAATTTTTATATATGTACATCTGTTAATATTTTCGTGTTTTTTACAGCTACTTCTCCAAATACCTCGTTTCTTAGCCTCCAAACAAATTGTACTCGTATGAATTTTCATTGAAATATAAAATTTAATATTAGAAATTTCTTATAGGAGCATCGACTACAGAAAAGAAGTCTATAACCGGAGACAACAAATCGCCTACATGGAAGCCCCATACCAACCAAACAGAGGGACAAGAAGGCGCCGACAGAGGCGTGGAATCGGCGTCGAATCGACCTTCTCGAGTTCGACGTAGTATTATGCAGTTAGCAGGAATGTTACGATGCACAACTGGGTGTGACCCTCTGGCCTACAAGAGCTACGGCTGTTATTGTGGTTACCTTGGGGCTGGAGATCCCGTCGATGACATAGATAGGTGAGAATTGGGAATTTACATATCTCAATCAAACTTGCGTCCTGGTCATAAATGCAAACAATTTTTCTGACTTTCGGAAGGTGTTCCTATTATCTTTGTATAAATATACGTACATAAACATATATGTAATTCGTTACAGAGTACAATAACACGCCATTACGCACGCGATGTTTCTGATTGCGTAAATTATGCTTTATGGTAGATTACTCTTAACTAGGATTCCTCCGTGAATATCTATTTATAGAAAGTCCCACTTTCTTGATAATTTAAAAGAAATTCTAATATATTCGAGAGAAGGAGGTTAACCTTCATTATACAATTACACGCGTTTTACAAGAGTATTTTTAAAACGCACCATTTTATCGTCGGTTAAGTTCCATTTATTTAGAAACTGCGCTGGTTTATTCAAACAAGTTTCGAATTTAACAGCTCGCAGCGGTAAGAGGACGAACGACGTCCTTGCTTGGCATGCCATTCAAGGTCGGTGACACAATTTGTCTCCACCCACGTCGTGGATTGCTTGAGATTTGAAAAACCCAGATTTGATCTCGACGTCATAAATCTGATATGTCGCCTATTTAAAATCTCTTTCTTCTTTCTAAAAATTCGCCTTTCTTTACATTAAAAAAGGTTTAAATTATGCCTTTGAGTAAAGGTCAAAGGACTTTATCTAAAACAAGAAAAAAGAAATGTAATCTGAAATTATCGAACGTCTTTTTTGTTCATTTTTTTGTTTCATCGACTGAACAAATTTTGAGATTTGGACTTTTCTAATGATCACGTATAAAGTATATTTTAGAAAAACAGTTAAATTATCACAACAAAATTGGATGAAATGTCTTTCTATACAATCTTTTTTTGTATGACAAGACAGTAAATATGTAATGTTATTCAAAATGAAATAATTAAATCATAGATCATGAAATTTACTATTTTTATTTGTCGTAATAATTTTAGTAGTTTTGTTTCGGAAAACCGAATTTCTAATGAAATACTGTATATAAGTTAGACACGTCTCTGCTCATTCGTTCTACTATAAGGAATTGTTCCGCTCTAATGATAATTATACAACAAGCGATAATGTGTAAATGTTCTCGGATTTCTAAGATTTATTTTCTGTAAAATAAAACTAGAATCTGGAACAAATACGTTAGAATGTAATTTATTTTATCGGATGAAACTAGGCTTAAAATCTTTTGTCATGGTCTGCTCCATTTTGTTTTACCTATATTCGTTTAGTGTGGTTTTTCTTTAAAAATTATATCTATTTCTTTATATGAAAGATTATAATTTACAGTGTGCATTTTATCTGCCATGATTGTAACTTAAATTCATATGTAATCATATTAAAGACTAAAATGTATTAAAGTAAATATTTATTTTATCATATTTTAGCAATAATTCTGATTGAATCATATGTGCATTAATCATATTCAATTGTCTGCAAATGACAGGGTTAAAAAAGTCTTTCAATCGTCATTCTTTAATGCTTCTTTGTCCAAATTGTTGCTGGACACATGTAGGTCAGTATGGCTGATGCTTTTCCTTTGTACCTAACATGTCAGCCAATACTTGAATAAAAAAAAGAAGAAAACAGTTGGCCTAGTTCTGGGGTTAGGTTTATATAACTTATCAGTAAAATGATCCAATTAGCCAAAGAATATACTTTCAATGCACAGTTCATATTTTGACATTTGAGATTTTCATACTTTCAATAACGCTTCAAATCCGCTCTTCGGAATATGTAATTGATTTCAAGTCGATTCTACTGATTTCATAAAAAAAGAGTTTATAAAATTACAGTATATAGAAGCCGATTTTTAAAAAGAATATTTTTCAATAAAAATATATAATATTTAATACTGTAAATCTGGTAAATTGCACACAAATATATACAAAAGATATAATTAATTAAATTTATACGGTTAATGCAAATATTAAATTTCGTTTAGTAAAATACAGTATTATTTTTATTAAATAATATTTCTAAAAGATAAGATTACATGACAAATATTTAAACATTTGCTCTTATTATTAGATAATTAAAGCGGATTTGTTGTCTTGAGATTTTAAAAACAGTTTTATGCTCGGTAAGAAGCCATTGTGTAACCCATCCGGAATGAAAGAAACCCATGTGTGAAAAAAATTGATTGAAAAAATATCGGAGCTTCGTACGTCCTTGCCTAGGGGATATTACAGCCTTGACCTTTCTAATTCGTTCATAATAGTTGTAGTGAGTTCCTGGTATGGAACGCCATATTGTTAAGATGCAATCAACTACCCCGACCACACCTTAATAAATAGAAGAGAACAATGAACTTAAAAAAATTTTATTCTTTATGCACATTCCATTCTCGTTGCATCATTTAAAATCCTGTCNATAGACATGAAACTTCACAGTTATGTAACATTTTTCTTTCTGTCCATGTTGGTGTCGACCAAATTTAAATTCGAACATCCGGAAGCCCACAAAAACCGCCCAAAATTAGACAGGAAATGACCGATATTCCGAAAACTGATTATCCGAATGACCCCATATTTAAAATGTGCACTCACAGTATGAGTCCGGGTACGATTCCGATGACAGTTAATAAAAGTCTGTTAAAATATTCCAGTTAATCGCGTTCGAAGAAAATCAAATGTTCCAAAGGTCACAGCTTCCGACCTATTAGGTCTACAAAGACGATCTTGACACCATTTTGTTCCTTGTGAAAAATGGAATCCAACAGTATATAACACTTTCGTACACAATCACTATTTCCGCAAAATCGTCGAAGAAAAACAGAGCCAAATTTCCAGCAACCAACATAAACCTACTAAGCGCCCTCTTTCTCTGTACTGACAGCAGCAGTCATTAAATTTATACGGTTAATGCAAATATTAAATTTCGTTTAGTAAAATACAGTATTATTTTTATTAAATAATATTTCTAAAAGATAAGATTACATGACAAATATTTAAACATTTGCTCTTATTATTAGATAATTAAAGCGGATTTGTTGTCTTGAGATTTCAAAAACAGTTTTATGCTCGGTAAGAAGCCATTGTGTAACCCATCCGGAATGAAAGAAACCCATGTGTGAAAAAAATTGATTGAAAAAATATCGGAGCTTCGTACGTCCTTGCCTAGGGGATATTACAGCCTTGACCTTTCTAATTCGTTCATAATAGTTGTAGTGAGTTCCTGGTATGGAACGCCATATTGTTAAGATGCAATCAACTACCCCGACCACACCTTAATAAATAGAAGAGAACAATGAACTTAAAAAAATTTTATTCTTTATGCACATTCCATTCTCGTTGCATCATTTAAAATCCTGTCAAAATTTTTTTCTTCTGATTTGGAGTATAAAACGGAAAAACTTTCGCCTGGTTTTTAATTTAAAACTTCCATTGAATATTTAAAAATGGAAAAATATCTAATTATTTAATAAACAATTCGTAAATTTGCATTTTGTATAAATATTTCACATAAAAATCACTCTAATTATCTTTATCAACAATAATTAGGAATGTTAATAATATCCTCCAGTTATACAAATAAAAACGTTTAAATTATTATTACTGAATGTAATGAAAAATTACTTTGCATATTAAAAAATGTTCCCTATAATTTACACAGAATATTTTTTAAATAGGATATTAAAAAGAATTTTAAACATGTTTTAAACTCACTATCTAATTTAAAAAATGAATTAAACTTTTTAAATTTATATAAAACTAGGATAATTATTTTCAAGTCATAAAAAGGTTCTTATTAATTTTATCATTTTTGTAGGCTAATCGGAATTTTGGAACTTTTCACTGCACGATTGGAAGAATTAGTTACACTCCAATTGCTTTGTATAATTTTATTTTAATTTGTTTCACGATCGATGGTCATATAAAACTCTCATTTCATCATTATGACAACAAATTTTTATATATGTACATCTGNAACTTTCCTTGGCCACCACCCTCTTTAGATTGTATCTTTGAGCATAAAGATACATATGATGCTTTCTTACATCTCATCAAAATGTACTTTGTAAGATCAGACGTGCCTGTCTTTGTTAGATAAGCATAATTGTATATAGTTAAATTTATTTCACACTTAGGATATTATACTAGTCTTGTTAAATGTTAACTTCGATAACACATTATTGACTATTTTAAGATAAGGTTTGGTTCTGTTAAGGATTTGAGGTTACATATTTTTCCAATAGATATGGTATCATATCATCTATTGTCAATTTTCTTATTTATTACAGTTTATTATTTTGCGGTATGGTTTGATTTGGTAAATTTTACAATCTTTATCCACTCTATACATGATCTAGCATATTGGATTTTATGCTTATTCTTGCTCATTATTTAGTTATAATTGGTTAAAGTGGACATGCCCTATAACTTATAGCGACTACTGCATCTGTATACACAGATATTCATATTGTTTGATAATCTTCAGTAACAAATATGTAGCAATGTTCTTCTGAACTTTGCTAGTCTATTATGATAACAAACAAAATATAATTTCAACTGTAAATCTCTACAGATGCATATCTACACTATCGAGGTATGACCCTCTGTGTCTCACACATCTCCTATGTCTTAAAATAGATGAAGCTTTACTAGGAGAGCTTGATCTTTTTTTTTTTAATTCTGATCTAATCAATAATTGTCATCACATATGACGATTTGAAAAGACTATTGTAGAATGCATTAGGAATCCACAAATGCGTTTTGGCTATTAAGTGCTGACAGATATTTCATATAATTGAACTCACATCTGGACAGTACGGATTACTGATGTAAGCACTGCAGGAACTTGCAGTGCAGTGTCTCAGTTTTATATGATTTATCACATTCTTATTCGAAATCTGAAGCGTGGGATACAAAAACTCTATGTGTTATGCTTCAGTTTATGTGGTCTTCTTCTACTTTAAATGAACACATCCACATTTAACATTTGAGAGGCAGGTTTTGGTGTACAGTACTGAAATTCATGGTGCGTCTACACATATGTTAGATAAATGAAACTACCGGCGCTTTACCTTATAAGGATCATAGGAGTACTAAATCATGGATTATAGCATCCTAAACAAATGAGGAATAAACTGAAGAATTTCTCAACAGTTTATCATAAAGATTGTGCTTCCTGAAACTACGTATTTTGCTCCTAACAGTCCTGGTAGCACGGAAAGCTTAATACTCTGGTACTTCAAATGTATTAGTATAATAAGTTATGTAAAACTAAATGNTTTAAAAACTTAATTATGCTATTTAATATAAGGAAAATAAAAAATTTATAGAGAAGATTGAACTGTATTTAATATGGAAATAATATATATTAAAGAATGGATTAAGAAAAAAAGGGGATTGTATTTTAAGGGTAACAATATATTTAAAAGATTTTTCCTTGTGCGAAAAAACAAGTTTTGTAGAGAACAAAATGATCTTTTCTTATTATAATAATTTTTTCGAATTTTTCTTTTCTTAACTCCCAACTCACTGACATAGTTTCTCTTTTCAGCCATAGGGGACAACGCGCATGCGCCCGAAACACGTGTTATTATGATGATACCGTAGTAACTATTGGAGAAGAAGCAGGTATACACACATTAACACGTGGTAGACATCGGGTTTATCCCAGCTGGGGCAGAAAGTTAGCAAAACTATCGAGGAGCAGCCGCGTTCAATGTAACGATGGTAGTAAGTTATGATTAAGAAAGAATGGTTGCTCCTTCTGCTCGTGTTCTGCTATGAAGTAAAGCTATGCATATCCAACTTTACAGGTAAGTTGATCTGTAAGAAATAATTTTTTATAATATTAAGTGAATTTATTAAATTCCAAAAAATAAACTTTCGATTTTTACTATTATTATTCCTCGTATTAGGTAAATTATGTTGNCAAACCTATTAAATTATGGTTCGAACTAGTCAAACTATCAAAGAAATTTTATATTGAAAAATAATTTTCAAACATTTATCTCTGTAATCATTTTATGATAATTATTATTTAGAAATACGAATTATATAATGACCCTATAACAGATAAGTACTTCAAAACTGCATATTTTTCTTCACATTTGCAGCTAGTTGGATTTCTTTCTACCAGATGGCAGAATGGCAAATTATATCAATAATAATGAAGAATAAGGTGTAAATCATTCAATACTTATTGATAATTTTGATTTAAAAATTTTATATTTTATACCCTAAATGTTAAATTATTATTATTTAATAAAATATACTATTCTGATATAACTTCTGATTCTATTAATATACTATGATATAAAAATTATTACTCATAACCCAATATAAAATATTGGGTTATGAGTAATAATTTTTTCTAAATACATAATTATAAGACGATTTTAAACGAGACGTATCATTGGTATAACTGAATTATAGAGAAATTAAAAGGGTTTTTATACAAGATTTCTAAATAAGTGCTTTTACGGTGCATTGTTTTTAATTTCAGGCTAGTAAACTTAATCTAGAATCATAAAAAAAAAATTAAACACGAGTTATATATATATAATTTTCCAATTTTAAATTGTTGAAGCGAAAAAAAGTCCATTACTTGACTGTTTTCTTTGACAATGAGTTGAAGTTCGTGCAAGAAAAACAATCTAGAATTAAGGGAAATGAACGCGTTATTTTGTTTCGTTGAAAAGAGTTATTATATTAAAAATATTTTTTTCTATTTTTATTCTGATAAAACTCTTAATTTTCCTCCTTCCACAATTTATTATTTATGTATAAAATCAGTTTAAACGGGTAAATAGTTTGTTTCTTTTATATAAATCTTAATATTTTCTATATTTATTTTAAAAACTTAATTATGCTATTTAATATAAGGAAAATAAAAAATTTATAGAGAAGATTGAACTGTATTTAATATGGAAATAATATATATTAAAGAATGGATTAAGAAAAAAAGGGGGTTGTATTTTAAGGGTAACAATATATTTAAAAGATTTTTCCTTGTGCGAAAAAACAAGTTTTGTAGAGAACAAAATGATCTTTTCTTATTATAATAATTTTTTCGAATTTTTCTTTTCTTAACTCCCAACTCACTGACATAGTTTCTCTTTTCAGCCATAGGGGACAACGCGCATGCGCCCGAAACACGTGTTATTATGATGATACCGTAGTAACTATTGGAGAAGAAGCAGGTATACACACATTAACACGTGGTAGACATCGGGTTTATCCCAGCTGGGGCAGAAAGTTAGCAAAACTATCGAGGAGCAGCCGCGTTCAATGTAACGATGGTAGTAAGTTATGATTAAGAAAGAATGGTTGCTCCTTCTGCTCGTGTTCTGCTATGAAGTAAAGCTATGCATATCCAACTTTACAGGTAAGTTGATCTGTAAGAAATAATTTTTTATAATATTAAGTGAATTTATTAAATTCCAAAAAATAAACTTTCGATTTTTACTATTATTATTCCTCGTATTAGGTAAATTATGTTGTTGCTTAATTTAAATCACAAATAGATACATCTACAATATAATAATTAAAGGATTGTCTAGTCTGAAGTGCATATATATATNAGTATTTGTTTTTGTATGAGTGCATATATATATATATATATATTATTAATAATAATAAATAATATCTTAGAGAATAAAAATATTTAAAATTATAATTCGAATGACGAGTTTATGATAAATTCTATTACTTTTGATTATCCTTAAAAGAACTCTTTATGCTTAATTTCTAAGTTATAGCAAGATATTTTATATAATTAAAAATAACGTGTGTAATGATAGTAAATTTGGGCTGAAAACTAAATAGAAAGGAAATATTTTCGTATTTTCTTCTTATACTTTGTACAAACATCATTTATTGATGTCGTTGTAAGTAAAATTGCGGCTTTATAAATATCTAACAATTCATTTAAAAATGAACATTTTTTTTCTATAAATATCAACAAAATATATTAGTAATAGAATTGAACAATGCCTACTTTCATAACTTGGATAGGCTTGACTAATTTGTAAATAAATATTTTTCATGTTATAAATTGTTAAATGGAGCGTTTATTCTACTTCGTTTTCGTTCAAATTTAGAAAATTTATTAAATTCATAAAACTTTATGTTAAATATAATCTCGACATTGCATAATTTTACTCTTAATATACCTTAATTAAAACATTTTATCTATTTTTTATATAGTAATAAACCTTTTAAATATTTATTTAAAAAATAATTAAAAATTTATATATTAGTATGTTTACGTTTTATTTCAACTTATTGTCTTGAATTGACGTATTTAATAGTAAATTTTCAGATTTAATGCATAGATTAAACTCGAGTTGCTAATTTTGATTGATCGTGGATAGTTTTATTTGTTTACATTGGAAATAGTAACAATAAAAATGAACTGAAAATAAAATTCAGATGGTGAATTGATCATGAAAATTTCTCAAGACATTTAGATAACAAGCTAAGCTATTTGCAGCTTCAGTGAATTGACAAGACACACCCTATGGCTAAACAGATTTTCCTTCTCCTATCAAACTTGCGTCAATGTTCTTTACCCACTTCACGCAACGTTAGGGAGGCCTAATTTAAAAAACCACTGTAGCGAAACAGTGCGACAAAGAATGATGTCCTCAAAAAAGTTCCAAAAGTGTCTTTTAGAGGAAAAAAACGAAATGTTTTGATTCCAACTGGAAATCATTACTACATATTAAAATCTATTATAACATGATTTTCTACATTTCGAACATATAAATCAGGCTAACTGTCATCGATTGTATTTTACAAGGCGCGACTACTCTATTACAAGACAACAATTACAGGATTATTACTTTACAGTACTTTGTATCCTAATTTTTATAGGCACGAAACTAAACGTTTCTTGTACCTAAATGACTTTTTAGCAGTAATGAAGGTTCTTTCGAAATGAGATATTTCTCAGAATTTTAAGTATTTAAATATTTTTAGAGCCATTGAAAATGTTATACACGATTATTATCAGATATAACTAAAAGATTACCTAATATGAGATAAGAAATAACTAGCTGCTATTTGATTGATGTAACAAGAAGTAAAATTCTTTCGACCCACACCTTAACCTCCAAGCTGTAACATATAATATGCACGCAATGATGACTTAAATGGAAAATTATTACGAGTAATTTCCTTCTATTATGTGAAACTACTTATAGGGACGTAGCGAGAAAAAAACCACTTCATTACAGTTTCTTAACAGAAGGTATTGTGTACAGATATATCACTCGAGTCATATAAGTAGATATGCAGATGGCTTATTCATCTCATTTTCCCCCCTCTACCAACTTTAAATTTATTGTCTATACATATTCATGAATTTATCATTATAGAATACTTAAATAATCGATTTATATGTTCAGAAAGTATTGCTTTCTATTAAAATCGATATGTAAAATTCTATTCAATAGTGTAATAATGCATGTACATTTTCATATTGTGTTTGAATAGATGCCAATTCTTTACAGTAAGTGAGATCTTTCTTAATCTCACATACTGTAATTAATATACAACATATTTTAAGTACTACTGTCACATAATACTTCAAACTGAACTCTTTATTTACATTAAAGAATTAATAATAAATAATAAAATATTTATATATTATGTTCATAATCCTGTATAAAACTTTATATACATAATAAATTTTGAATTTATTTATTCCAAATTTTTATAAAATTTATAAAAATTAATTTAAAAGCAACACAAATTATTGAAATTAGGATAAAATTTAAAATCAAATCTTGATTTCAATCATTGTTTTATTTAAAGGAGAAAAGAAAGTATGATCGATTTATTTTTTTATATGTTTTAATTGAAAAAATGTATCGATTTAAAGAAAAACAAACTCAATTTTTATTAAATAAAAAAATAAGTTTTTTAAAAATTTTGCCTTCAGATCAATCGATGGTTAGTAAAATTCAATGAAGTGTTGCGGTTGTAAACTTCTTAAACTTTTAGTTGCTATTTAGTAGCAACAAAGATAATTTTGTCAGTATTTGTTTTTGTATGAGTTTTATTTATTTGAAATGCGGTTAAGGACACCCGTAAAAATTCTTAGACGCGTAAAAAAATATGTCATATTATATAGACATAAATGTACAATAAATTAATCTCATTTTCCTATTTTGCTTTTTATATAATTATAGTATGAATATTTTTGATCTAGAAAGTAAAGATAACAATCTACTGATAAAATTATATATTACAGTTGTACTGATTTTCACAAAGATCTCTTCATAGATAGCTCATATCAGTCTTACAGATTAAATTAACAATTTTATGCTCTAACAATTTTACATAATTATACTCCGAAATTTGTCTGGCATAAATGATAATTAAAGTAACAAAATGATTATTTTTTATCACATTTTCCACAGAATTGACCATTACTTTAAGTTTTCAATTTGTTAATATTCTTTAGAAGTTATTATACATTGTCCAACCTCTAATAATGGCTACCTCCAAATAACGACCATTTTTCACGTCCCGTCAGTGACCTTTTTTAAAGGTTTGGCTGTATTTTAATAGCCTAAATTCTAAAGCATATTTCCGATTATGCTTTAGAATTTTTTTAACAAACTGTGTGAAGAGATTGTCAACCTGTTAAACACATTTACTCGTTTCTTTTCTTTAAAACATATCCTAAAATTCTCATTTTTCTGTTAAAAAATTCAAATTATTTTAAAATTGTTTGCTTAATAATTAACTTATTAATAAAATTAGAAGTATTGCCAACTTATATTTTTTACAATATAAATATAAAAGAACAATCAAAAATTCTGTGAGGAAATTATGAATTTTAGTGAAATCTTTTTTACAAGTTTAGAAATGATTAATAAAGTTAAAAGTTTTAAAATATAATTAAAAATTATTTCTATAAAATTATAACTCAGATATTAATTTAACATTTTTAAAGCTTTTCAAACATAAGCTAAGAAGAAATAATAAAAATTTATTAATAAACTTATGGAGTTTCTTAAATTTTGATTCAAGTTTCTCAAGTTCTAATAATAAAGAAAGAATATATATTTAGTCGAATTAATAAAAATACATAATAATGATTGTAACTTAAATTCATATGTAATCATATTAAAGACTAAAATGTATTAAAGTAAATATTTATTTTATCATATTTTAGCAATAATTCTGATTAAATCATATGTGCATTAATCATATTCAATTGTCTGCAAATGACAGGGTTAAAAAAGTCTTTCAATCGTCATTCTTTAATGCTTCTTTGTCCAAATTGTTGCTGGACACATGTAGGTCAGTATGGCTGATGCTTTTCCTTTGTACCTAACATGTCAGCCAATACTTGAATAAAAAAAAGAAGAAAACAGTTGGCCTAGTTCTGGGGTTAGGTTTATATAACTTATCAGTAAAATGATCCAATTAGCCAAAGAATATACTTTCAATGCACAGTTCATATTTTGACATTTGAGATTTTCATACTTTCAATAACGCTTCAAATCCGCTCTTCGGAATATGTAATTGATTTCAAGTCGATTCTACTGATTTCATAAAAAAAGAGTTTATAAAATTACAGTATATAGAAGCCGATTTTTAAAAAGAATATTTTTCAATAAAAATATATAATATTTAATACTGTAAATCTGGTAAATTGCACACAAATATATACAAAAGATATAATTAATTAAATTTATACGGTTAATGCAAATATTAAATTTCGTTTAGTAAAATACAGTATTATTTTTATTAAATAATATTTCTAAAAGATAAGATTACATGACAAATATTTAAACATTTGCTCTTATTATTAGATAATTAAAGCGGATTTGTTGTCTTGAGATTTTAAAAACAGTTTTATGCTCGGTAAGAAGCCATTGTGTAACCCATCCGGAATGAAAGAAACCCATGTGTGAAAAAAATTGATTGAAAAAATATCGGAGCTTCGTACGTCCTTGCCTAGGGGATATTACAGCCTTGACCTTTCTAATTCGTTCATAATAGTTGTAGTGAGTTCCTGGTATGGAACGCCATATTGTTAAGATGCAATCAACTACCCCGACCACACCTTAATAAATAGAAGAGAACAATGAACTTAAAAAAATTTTATTCTTTATGCACATTCCATTCTCGTTGCATCATTTAAAATCCTGTCAAAATTTTTTTCTTCTGATTTGGAGTATAAAACGGAAAAACTTTCGCCTGGTTTTTAATTTAAAACTTCCATTGAATATTTAAAAATGGAAAAATATCTAATTATTTAATAAACAATTCGTAAATTTGCATTTTGTATAAATATTTCACATAAAAATCACTCTAATTATCTTTATCAACAATAATTAGGAATGTTAATAATATCCTCCAGTTATACAAATAAAAACGTTTAAATTATTATTACTGAATGTAATGAAAAATTACTTTGCATATTAAAAAATGTTCCCTATAATTTACACAGAATATTTTTTAAATAGGATATTAAAAAGAATTTTAAACATGTTTTAAACTCACTATCTAATTTAAAAAATGAATTAAACTTTTTAAATTTATATAAAACTAGGATAATTATTTTCAAGTCATAAAAAGGTTCTTATTAATTTTATCATTTTTGTAGGCTAATCGGAATTTTGGAACTTTTCACTGCACGATTGGAAGAATTAGTTACACTCCAATTGCTTTGTATAATTTTATTTTAATTTGTTTCACGATCGATGGTCATATAAAACTCTCATTTCATCATTATGACAACAAATTTTTATATATGTACATCTGTTAATATTTTCGTGTTTTTTACAGCTACTTCTCCAAATACCTCGTTTCTTAGCCTCCAAACAAATTGTACTCGTATGAATTTTCATTGAAATATAAAATTTAATATTAGAAATTTCTTATAGGAGCATCGACTACAGAAAAGAAGTCTATAACCGGAGACAACAAATCGCCTACATGGAAGCCCCATACCAACCAAACAGAGGGACAAGAAGGCGCCGACAGAGGCGTGGAATCGGCGTCGAATCGACCTTCTCGAGTTCGACGTAGTATTATGCAGTTAGCAGGAATGTTACGATGCACAACTGGGTGTGACCCTCTGGCCTACAAGAGCTACGGCTGTTATTGTGGTTACCTTGGGGCTGGAGATCCCGTCGATGACATAGATAGGTGAGAATTGGGAATTTACATATCTCAATCAAACTTGCGTCCTGGTCATAAATGCAAACAATTTTTCTGACTTTCGGAAGGTGTTCCTATTATCTTTGTATAAATATACGTACATAAACATATATGTAATTCGTTACAGAGTACAATAACACGCCATTACGCACGCGATGTTTCTGATTGCGTAAATTATGCTTTATGGTAGATTACTCTTAACTAGGATTCCTCCGTGAATATCTATTTATAGAAAGTCCCACTTTCTTGATAATTTAAAAGAAATTCTAATATATTCGAGAGAAGGAGGTTAACCTTCATTATACAATTACACGCGTTTTACAAGAGTATTTTTAAAACGCACCATTTTATCGTCGGTTAAGTTCCATTTATTTAGAAACTGCGCTGGTTTATTCAAACAAGTTTCGAATTTAACAGCTCGCAGCGGTAAGAGGACGAACGACGTCCTTGCTTGGCATGCCATTCAAGGTCGGTGACACAATTTGTCTCCACCCACGTCGTGGATTGCTTGAGATTTGAAAAACCCAGATTTGATCTCGACGTCATAAATCTGATATGTCGCCTATTTAAAATCTCTTTCTTCTTTCTAAAAATTCGCCTTTCTTTACATTAAAAAAGGTTTAAATTATGCCTTTGAGTAAAGGTCAAAGGACTTTATCTAAAACAAGAAAAAAGAAATGTAATCTGAAATTATCGAACGTCTTTTTTGTTCATTTTTTTGTTTCATCGACTGAACAAATTTTGAGATTTGGACTTTTCTAATGATCACGTATAAAGTATATTTTAGAAAAACAGTTAAATTATCACAACAAAATTGGATGAAATGTCTTTCTATACAATCTTTTTTTGTATGACAAGACAGTAAATATGTAATGTTATTCAAAATGAAATAATTAAATCATAGATCATGAAATTTACTATTTTTATTTGTCGTAATAATTTTAGTAGTTTTGTTTCGGAAAACCGAATTTCTAATGAAATACTGTATATAAGTTAGACACGTCTCTGCTCATTCGTTCTACTATAAGGAATTGTTCCGCTCTAATGATAATTATACAACAAGCGATAATGTGTAAATGTTCTCGGATTTCTAAGATTTATTTTCTGTAAAATAAAACTAGAATCTGGAACAAATACGTTAGAATGTAATTTATTTTATCGGATGAAACTAGGCTTAAAATCTTTTGTCATGGTCTGCTCCATTTTGTTTTACCTATATTCGTTTAGTGTGGTTTTTCTTTAAAAATTATATCTATTTCTTTATATGAAAGATTATAATTTACAGTGTGCATTTTATCTGCCATATATGTGCAGATAAAACGCACACTGTAAATATATAACTACTATTATATATATATATATGTATGTATGTATGTATGTAATAGTTAATATGTAAGTTCAATAATTCGAATAAAAACTAATATTTCTTTAGATTTTAAAACGGATGCAAACTAATTTCAAAAAATCAGACACTATTCTGTTTCAGATGTTGCTGGGAACATGATTGGTGTTATACTAATACTAGATGTCCTCAATTATTCCTTTATTTCTTCAGATATCCGTGGCAATGTTCTCCTCCCGGTATTCCACAATGCGGTAAAATATATATTTAATAATAATCTCATTGTTTCTAGACAACTATCACTATTTATAATTGTTCTTATATAACAGGCACCATGCCGGAAACTACGATTGCCCAGCAATGTGCTAGACAGTTGTGTATGTGTGACAGAGCTTTCGTTCAATGTGTGAGAAGATTTCCGTGTCCGAGACAAAGCGTTTTGTGTAAAACGAATCCAATGGTTGCCCTACAAAGTATATTTTTTGGTAAACGATAGATTTCCTTACTCCTCGTCTTCAATTTTATGCCATCAATAATCGCACATATTTTGTATTTTAAGACTTGTAAATACAAGTACTTTCAGCACGTAATGATTATCGTAAAAGAAAACTACTTACGGTTATGGTACAATTTTTAAGATTACATTATTTTATCGATTATATTAATAGATTCATCAAATCTATTAAGATCATCGATAATAATCGCAATATTTAAATTTGGCATTAAATCTTGAATTACTTTTTGTATATAATTTTATCCCAGAACATGATCTTAATCATCATATGTATGCACACACACACACAAGCACAAATGTATGCACACACACACACACAAGCACAAAAACACACATACACAAATGTATGTGTTTTTTTATTTTCATAATTTTATTTTTACAAAAGATATTTGGCGATGCCCAATGAGAAAAATGAGCCACTCCCACACTAACAATGGCACGATACTGAATTTTTGGATTAGATTGACGAAAATATGACATACGCTTAAGTAGCAAGGAGAACTTTCAAAACTCAATTGAAATTTGCTGTGAATTCGGCCAAATATACGACGATTAGCTTAAAATCTTTCACAAAAATTTATTTTTAAAGATTTATCTGAAATGTGATATATTCATTGTTAAAAAATTCAACGCCTTTTACCATTGTATTCGCGCCTAAGAAATGAATCGGTTAAATTCCGTTCATTAATAAAATGTAATAAGAATGTTAATCATAACAAATATATTAAATAGTTACATTATTGTATATTAAGCATGTTATTAAAATAAGTTTATTAGCGTTTATGTTTTTGCATTTTATTTACTTAACATTTTTTAAATAGCCTATACAGATAAAAATCATATTTATAAAAGTTTTATTTAAATCAAGCTACCATTCTTGCAATTAAAATAAAACGGTGTTTCTAATGTGTTATACAAAATGGAGATCTTATTTTCAGTAAGTTATTCAATGTGTGGTATTTAAAATCGTCAACAAGAAAGCTGCACTGTAAAATGTCATCAGTGAATATCCGAGCTCAAATCCGATTAGAATCATCCAAATAATATGAACAAGGAATCTTACAACATCTTGAACTCCTTTACCAGTAAGGACTGCCCATACTTGACGAAAATGTGAACTGGCTATGTAATTTTTAATGTTGTGATGTCATGTGTTATGATGTTGATAAACAAATATTTAATAGATATCCAAACAGATCTACTATCGCGGAATTGCAGTGCTCACCAGTGATCCTCCACACGCTAACACAGTAGTCACAGTATTCAAGCAAAACCGAAATTTGTTGCTAAAGACAATACACTGCCTGATCGTAGCAGTTCATGCTTCTTTGTCATGGCACCATTACAAATGAAGCCGACGATGAAATGGTAGGATTCGTAACGGTTGCCATCTGCGGTTCATTCAAAGCCTGCCCGTCATGTATGTATGGCCTGACGTATCCACAGTGTCGAACCTCTCCTATACAGATAAAAACTCTCGACGAGAAGACGGCGAGAAATTTGGCGAAAGATCTGAGAAAGGACAAGTACAGAAGAACATCAATTATAACGAAAGTGCAATGCACTCACGGACAAAAAGTTGCTCACAAAGAAGAGGTTGTTGGAGTGTAAATGTAATGCCAATAATTTCCTGTGCAACAAAGGTAAATTCACAGAAGCCTTTAGTACTTTCTAGGACCTCCTCTTGCCTGGATACAAGCGACGATACGGTCGGGTACAAGGGACGATACATGCAGGCAACATATGCTATTCTGCGACGTACTCTCATATTCGTAGCTGGCAGAAGCTTACATTCCCCAAATGCACGATATACTACAAATCTGGAAACCGGGCAGGCCAAACAAGTGTGGTAATATGACAGAGATATTTCTGGGTAACCATAGCTGTATGTGGCTGAGTATTATCTTGCTAAGAAAATGATTGTTTGCAGCTCTGTCATGAAGGACAACACATGAAGGTGCAGAATTTCCTGAACACATCACTGTGCAGTCAATATCCCACCACCAGTCCACCAATAATGCGACATTTCTCAGACTCCGTTAGCTATGCGTAATGTCTTTAATTGTATCGTAAAGACATTTGATCTTCAAACAACAGATTTACGAATTTTGAACATAGCGAGCATTAGCGAGGCTTTTTATGGGTTACTGGGATAGAAATGTTAAGACATTCTGGTAGCATTCAATCGGATCCATAACTGTAGTCATATACATAATTTACATATCTGTCTGAGACATAGCTGTATGCCTAGTTCTTGTAAGGTTTACGGCAACTTAAGCTCGCCAACCGATACTGGAATGTACAGAACTGAAAATGGAGTCTGGAAATGGAAAATCTCTCGTCGATATTACGGTAAGATTGCCAAAACGAAAAGGTAAACGTATGTAGCTTATAGGGAAAACGTGTGACTGAAATGGTCGACATCAGTACGAAAACTGTTTATTAACTGGTAGCTTACAAAAGCTCGATGTCTTCCTGTTTTTGAGGGATGTTAATGGAAAGTCCAAATCATGAACAATTTCAGAAGTCGAATCCCACAGAGGATTTTGGCCCGAGGCTGTCTTCTTCCTCCTACTTTATAGGAGACATTCAAAAGTTGGATTTGGTGGACACTGTCATTATGTTACAGGCAGTTCGAAGATAGACACAAAGGCTCACCAGAATCGAAACAGATCGGAAGTCTCACCAGAGAGTACATCGCTTTTGATGAATTTTCGAAGTTCAGAACGGCGCCTTGTAAGAATGAGTATATGAGAGCGGATTTTTTAGGCACAGATATTACCTAAGAACGTTTGCCTTTTATTTGGAAAGAGAAGAATGAATCTCGACCAAAAAAAACGAACTTTTAGCGTAATTTTGACAAAAAACCCGTGTCCTCGAGAGACGCGCTTTTATTCCCTCGATTGCCCATCCTGATTAATAGTGATTTCTCATCATCGCCTAAAGGTATCTTCTTTCCAGGTGGAATTTCAGACTCAGATCGCAAGAGAGGTCGCCATTAATGTTTAAGCTGATGCTAAAATACAATACCAACCTAAGCTGATCGATCTTAAGACTCACATTGTTTATGCATGTTTTTGTCGTGTTTATCTAAAAGTTTTAATTTTTTTTTCTTTTTTTGTAATAAAACATTTTTAAACACATTTAATGACAGGTTCAAACCCTGTCCGGAACCTCACACTCTGCAGTAATCGAACACCTCTATCTGGGTGAGTAACATTTTGCCAATGTATTTACTTTCATTAATTAATATACTGAAATAAAAAGCATTATACCGTAATCAAAATGAATGTTATTAGACTATAATTTGTTCTGTGAATTGCTGAAACATTTTAAATAAATAAATATATATATATATATATAATAAATATATATATTATTATATATATTTAATATATATAGCCTATATATACAAATGTATCACGACAATAACAATTAATTATATTTCGTGTAATAAAATTACATAAAAGTAATAAAATGTTCTGGACCCTAATTAAATTACATAAAAATATAATGACATATATAAAGTTTTACATGTAAGCCTACATATGCTGTACTATATATATAACTTATATCCGTAAGTTCATATTTCAGACAGAAACATCTGTACTTTTTGCATTTCGTTTATTTCAAACTTTTAGCAAGGCCATTATGGGTTCGGCTAGGCCCATTGTGGGCCTGGCCGAACCCATAATGGTAAGGGATGGGGTTGGACAGATCCGGACGGACCCTACCCGAAAAATTCCCGGAAATTTTCGACCCGTCCGGATTCGATCACGGGTCCACCAGAGCGGTAGGCTATCACCTTGACCGGCGACTATTTGAGACCCGGCGCTTAACTTTTACTACCACATTTCGTTTAGTTTCAGCACGTTAATACAATTAGTCAAAAGTATAACAACTTTTAGTCAAAATCGAAAATAATTCAACCCTCCTATCGCTAAATTATAAAAGCAGTTCTCGGTAATTTTATTATTGGTTTAAATTTACAACAAAAATAGTTATTCTCTTCAACATACTGTTTCATTTTATCAAGTCCTAATAATCACGACGACAATTATTACTGACAAATACCGGTAGAAAACAACTATTTTGTATAGGCATGGACCATCAACTGTTTGTAATGACTCGACAGCTTATGGCGAAGGACAAAAGGGATCTTGGTTAGAGGCCTCTTTTTGAAAAGATGAAATACGTAGAGAATGTTTATTAGCAAAAAGTGCTCTTAAAGATTATATATTTTATTACTAAATGTAACATTAATTTGTAAAAACCACTTTGAGTTCCTACGTTTTGCCAGAACCAGAGAAAAATCCTTAGCTGTCTCCAATCGACGGTTCTATTTATATGACATCCTATTCTTGGTACGAAATAATACCGTGCTCAGAGGGGAAGGAAAATCGGAAAATTTCTACTGGTTCCATTATATTCATAACTGCCAGTGCTAGTTATATATTTTTCGCTCTGCTCGAACAAGTCCCATCCACCCATGACCATGCCTGAGAAATGTGCTGTGCACATCTTTCACGTGAATTTCCTTAAATCGGAAACTTTTTCTAGAAACACGTTTTCATCAATGCTGTACTTTTCCGTAGTCTAAAATGAAACACGTTCAATAATGATGAGGTGAAAGTCTCTAAAATTTCTTAAACTTTTTATTTTAACATAACTTTTACGCGTCTCGGCGCTAATTCATGAAATACTAGCGAGGTTGAGGCCGAAGTTTTAAACGAGAAAACGTGTACTTCGGACGTTCGGCGCCGCTTTCCTGTAAGCCTAGAAGTTTGACAATGGTGTTTGGATAGTCAGTGGAATCATGCTCGACATTCCAAACACCATTGTCAAACTTCTAGGCTACTACATTTTCGCCTAACAAATAAAAAATGAAATTAATAGATAATAATAAAGACCACTCTTCTAATTGATCTACAGCAGTGGTTTGGTAACTTTGAATTTTGCGGTTCCTTTTATAAAAGATAAATTTTGGCGAATCCTATTTTCAGCTGTTAACGTTTAGTCAGTAATTAATAAACTACAGTACAATATTAATAAGCATCTGAGACAACTTATGATATTTTTTTGGAGGTTTTCTATTGCGTTGATTCGAAACATTTTGTTAAAATAACAGAATTAATACACTGCAAAAATTTAATAAATAGAATCAACTGTTTTATTTTTCAAAAAGTCATTAAGATATAACATTGGAATACATAATATATAAACACATAACATTTCATTTAAAGCGTAACATAGCTTTAAATAATATTTTTAAATATTTGCTAAGTAATAAAATAAAATAATGTTTAGAAAATTGGCCCGCGGACCACAGTTTTGGAACCACTGATCTAGAACTAACGGATTTTTACTTTCTATTCTTCACTTTATATTTTAAGAACGTATTTAGTCTGTGTCCAGAAAACAGGAAAATCCAGAAACATGAACCACTTTCGGTCCCAAACTTATCAGACATTTGACCCATTATTGTATTATTATTATTATTATTATTATTCAATGACCACACAGCAAATAGGGTAGAAATGCTGGTTAACATAAAATCACAAGTCGAACACTTCCCAAGCGTTTAAGACTGTGTGATATACCTTCGAATAATGCGAGCAGATCCAAGTAAGGTGGCCTTTTGCAACTGACAGATAGTAATTTTGTCAATATTTATGGCTTGTAGGTGCTGACTAA